TTTCTGTCTTTTTGCCGTGCACCTTTCTGTAACCGTGCACAAAAATATCAAAAGATTTTTTAGTGCACGGAAAATAGCAAACCGTGCACAATTCCGGAAAAAACCGTGCACAAAAAACATTTTTCCCCGTTTTCCTGAAATACAGTAAACCGAAGAAAACTGTCAAAAATAACGTAATCAAGCTGTACTTACAACAAATTGATAGATTAGTTCTAATTGATCTTTATCCATGTATAGATTGTCTTGTCTATCATGTGATAAGCAATCATTAAATAAATTTAATCTTGGAATATAACGTTTAGATACATTTAAAACTAATTTAAATACATCTTTCTTATATTTCAATAAAAGTATTTTAAAATAATATTTAAATTTTAAATTATCTTGTAGCTTTTCACGATATAAAACTCTTAATTCTTGTTTTGGTTTATTTGATTTCGCGCAATGTTTTGAATATTCTCTTAATTTGAATTGAAAATTATTTCGTTGTTGATAATTTTCTAAATGATTTTGGTATTTTAATTTTAATTTTGCAAAAAATTCTTTAAGTTTTGCTTTATAACGTTTATAGAAAATAGTTTTCAATTTATCAATTTTTTCTTCTAATAATTGTGAATAAATTGCAAGGTTTTAAATTTAAATTTGAATTATCATTAACATTACTGTTTAGTGCTTCTATTGATTTTAATTTGATTTCTAAATGATTATGATCAGAACCAACATCTAGAATAAAATCATTTGAGCACTTGTTTAATTTGATAACTAAATTTAATTTATCATTTAAAAGTTGAGCATTTTTTGCAAGTTCTGGATTTCGAATTACATCATCTTTAATTGTGAATTTGAGTTTTTGTAAAGCAGTTTCTAATTAGTTGAGTGTTGAACTGAGCACTGGAGCTAACTGATTATCTATATTGGTTGATAGCAATGAATTGAATTTTTCATTTAAAAATCGAAGATTATTTCCAATATTTTGTTTGATATGCAATAAATTTTTTTGTTTCTCTTTCTTTTCATTCGATTTTCTTTGTTCGTTTTTAGCCAATATTTTACTTAAATTATTATTAAGTTTGAATACATTTTGTCCAATTAGATGAAGATCATTTTTCAATGAATTAACTTCATCGGACTGATTAATATTATTGGTTTGATTACGCAATGTTGTTGAATCTAGATCAAAATTGTATAATCCAATATAATTACTATTTGCTTGATTTAACCGATTAAAACCTTTTCCTAATATTGGTTTCACGGTTTTCTCTTTTTTTTATTTTTTATTTTAGTCCATGATGTTAGTAAAATGACAGGGTAATGACAAAAGTTCAACAAAGAATTTTTGTAGGTCATCCCCAGTAAAAAGAGACAAAAAAGGGATATAAAACAAAGAAAGTTTAAACAGTAGAAGGTTTATAGGTTTATCAACATTCGAATTCAACTGAACGTCGTGAGAGCTTGTTGACATGTTGTCATCTGACGATTCATCATCTTCATCTCCTAAAAGTTTGTCATGCGCATACTTCAAAAGTTTTCTGAACATTTCATCTGCAACTTAAAAATTGAAATTATCTTAGGACTCGAAGGAAACTCTAGTCTAGTAAAACTCAATCTCTCTCGGTGAGATTCTGCTCGCAGCTAGTTATCTTCCACCAGAGTTCTGGCTTGACGCCGTTGACCATTAATTGGGTTCGGCTGTGCTCGCAGGTTTTTTAGAAACTTTAAAACTAAGGAATCTGGGAATCTGCATCTTCGTCAAAAGCAACTATAAGAACTTTTCCTATCGTCTGTATGTTTTTACTGTTTTCTCTTGTTGTCATGCATCAGAAACTTTTTCTTTTGATTCTTTCTTTCTTCACTCAACTTTCCGACGTATTTTTCTTCGCAACGTCTATGGGATTATCTAGCGTACAGATTTTACTCTCCTGTTATTGCATTGTTGTTATACGTATGCAAGAAGAGGTATGATAAAATTGTCACTAAAAGTATCGCTGTTGAAATGTATTTCTTTTTCGACTGAAGCGTGCTCGATTGTATGCCGAAGAAAAAGCTGATACATCAGAGCTGACAGCAGCCGTCCCTTGCACCATTCAGCGATGCCGATTGTTTCCGAACATTATTCGGGTTCCAACTCAATCAGCGCACAGAGATCGAACAGCCTATCATCCAACCGTTGCAATCATACCATCACTCAGAGCGAGCAGACAATCATGTGCCTAGAAGTGAAAGCGGGCAAGAGGACGATCGATGACCTCGTCTCTGAGCGAATGGAATCTCGTTTCTGTCATCACACAATGATTGTTATTGGCATCCGGCTGGATCAGTAGCCGAGTGGGTTCTGTTGAAGTGTATCTCTTTGATTGGTTTCGGTATCGACTCCTGGTCATGGATATGATGAAAACGATTTTAATCTTATCCTAAAACTGTCTCTGAACCTGATAAACGAATTCAAAAGGAGGGGGCAATCGCCCAATCGATAGCGCTGTATCTCAGCATACATCGACATCATTCCCTGGAATGTATGTCAGAACGATATGCATCGCGAAGTAAACGGCTCTGTGACACACTCGTTCCATATGTCCGCAGCTCTCTTTCGAATTCCTCATATTGACTACGTATCAGCAATAGATCGGCATGTACCAATTCATTTGCACTTTGTGAAAACCAGTCCACGATAGCAGTGGGTGGTTCACAAACCCAAACAAAAAATTCCCACACCTTCTGTTTTTTGCGATATATTTTGACCATAGCATCGCGATTTCTCAATGAAATTCATAAATTTGTTTTACTGAAATGGTCAGTGGAAAGAGCTTTACAAACCCTGATAGAAAGAAAATTTTCCAGTTACTTAGTGAGTTTTGGGTTAATTATCCATGGATCTGCCGAGCTATATCGAATACGAAAAGTCATGTTTCCAGTGGCCTCAATGGATTTCATGACTAGTTTGAACTGGAGACCTGAAATTTCAAAAATGAAAGAACATAGTTAGATGTATACATGATACAAGTTTCAGTTCCTTAGGTCAACAAGAAGTATAAAAGATATCAAAGACAATCTATCCTCAGTTATTATAGGACACCCTTCATAGGAGGGGTTCAAAACAAGCCAAATTCGCTCGGTATGACCGGAGACCGTTTAGTAAGACAGGTTCATCATATTAGAAGGTTGTCCACTAATAGAGGTTTTACTGTATATCGAATACGATATTTCATGTCAAGATCGACTCATTATTGATGACTGATTGTGAACGTTATTTACCTATCTGGTGAAATATCAATTTGAAGATTTGAATACAAATATGAGACAGATGTAGAAGGGAAAAACACTTAATATTTAGTTTTGCACAAGCATATTAACGGAACTGCCGGAGGGAGAAGTTTGAAGCATTGTGTCTCGTTGTTTTTGAAAATTTTGTTTTTCCTAGTTAACCAAACTGAAAAAACGGTGTTTTCTGGGACTTTTTGATGCTAAGTTTGTAAGTTATGTGAAGGTCAGACACCTGACATTTAAATAAAGAGAGGCGATGTACGTACTGAATCGTCAAAGTCATTTTTAGGGATTTCCAGAACTTTCGATTTGAACAATCAAGTAACATCCTTTAAGATTCGATCAAACAGTATCACAGATAATTCGAGAATATGTTATATGATCAAAATTGTGATAAACAGAGTTTTTATTCTCACCTATTGCTTCGTTTCTTAATGAATTAAGTAAGTTCTTGTTTTAATCACAAAATCGTATGAAAAATTCTGTCAACTCTCTTCTCAACTAAAAGTATTACTTTCGTGAAAAGATTTCATATAAATGTACATTCTATTACTATCATTTAACAGTCGAAACATTTTCTTGTCTTTCTGTTCCTAAGCACAACAGTGTGACTGAAAATAAACAAAAAAAATCCTTTAGAAATTTTTTCTGTTCCATTCCATTGCTAACGGATACTTATCGCGTTCATTTTTCTCGTCTTTTTTTCTAAAAGAACGTAAAAAAATAATAGCAAAAAGCGTCACCACATTGCATTAATATTAAAAAAAGCAACATCTAGAAAGAGAATAGAGACCTCTAAAACTAGTAAATTTTCATCATTCGACTGTTGATAACTTCTCAAAGGGCTAATATCCGAAATACTCATAATACTGAACAAAAGAATGAAACTTCAAAAGAAATTATACATGCACGTCGACGTCGTAATTTAGAGAAGATCCAAAATGTTTTTTTAATATGGTTAGACGGCAACATCGATGACAATAATGAAGATTGTCAAAATACAATGACACAACTTCGACGTGTTGTCCATGACCTAAATACTTACACAAATGGATGTCAATGCATTCAATTTATCGAAATAATCAATGACCGTAAGACTTGTATGGTTATTCCAGGATATCTGGGTCAACACATTGTGCCTCGTGTGCATAATATGTCTCAAGTGGACTCTATTTTTATTTTTTGTGTTGACAAAAAACGACATGAAGGGTGGGCGAAAAAGTGGCCCAAAATCAAAGGAGTTTTCATTGAAATCCAACCTATTTGCGAAGCTCTCAAACAAGCAGCACAACAATGTGAACAAAATGCCACGTCCATCAGTTTCGTGGCATCTGGTAAAAAATTGGATCAACTAGATCACGTCAACCGACGTTTGAGCGCCCGACATTTGAGCGCCGACATTTGAGCACCTGGCATTTGAGCGCCCGACATTTGAGCGACCCCGAGATTTGAGCGACCGACACTTGAGCGACCGACACTTGAGCGACCGCCCCATGAGCGACCGACACTTGAGCGACCGTCACTAGAGAGACCGACACGAGAGCGATGCCGACAAGAGCGACGTTTCAA